TAAATAAGGATGCTGTCCAGTAAGACAAGTATTTAAGTTTGAAAACAGCTTAGCCTAAAGCTGGAAGGTTATTTCTTCTAAGTTTCATCTGGTCTATTTTCAGAGTTTGGGATCCCGCTCTCTCCAGGACCCTCCCATTTGCCTTGGTTCTCTGGCCAGGTGTTTCCTGAAAGCGAGAGTGAAGCCTTGACATGGGCTACAGGTGTAGTGATGCGTCCTTTTCTCAAGAGTATTAAAACAGGATGGTTTCCCCTGTGCCTGCTGCTCTATTTCAAGGATAAGCAGAGGAAAAGCAGAAGACAGAGTAGGTAACATCCGAGATGCCATCCAGCTCTAGAATTTAATATTGTATTATGCCCCTTCTAGAGCATATGATTTATTCTTTCCAGCCATACTTTCCTGTGTTGAATTTGCCATTTTTACCTAAGTCTTCTGATTTCATTCCTTAGCAACCAGCACTTCCATATAGGCCACATGTTAGCATCTCTGCTTCCTAAATACATCACTATCTACAAACACCCATTACTACAGTGCAACTGTTCTCTCCTCTTTACAGTTGCTAGGCCAGATTTCATGGACCTTTTTTTAATGGTCTGGGAAGTTTTCAAACCCCTGTACTTTAAAAGTGTTTATAAATATATTGTCCTCATGTAGGAAGACCTCACAAACTACAAGAAAGCAGTATTCTACACAATTTAAATTAGAAGTTTAAAACATGACTTCAATATCTAAAATGCTCAAGTAATATTTAATTATTGTCAGTGGTATAAATGAATGATTTTCAAATCTGGTACTAAACAATGAAACGTCATTTTAAAATCACAGAAATTTAACTCAATGAGATAAAAATTTGGACACTGGACTTCAAACATAACTGAGTATATCATTATATTCATCATATAATTATCATTGGTCTTTTTATGACATTTTGTTTTCAAAAACTTTTTCAAATAACTAGAGGCAACATTATCATTTTCCTTGTTGGAAAATTAGAACTGTAAATTTCATTCAAGCTAGCAAAGTTCTGGCTAAAATTTTAGATCATCTCTCTGTAACTATAGTACTTTTTTACATTAACAAAATACTTTTTCAAAGTTGTACACAGATTTCAAATTTTAAAAGTTCTTTTCAAACATGACTTTGGAAAATTTGTTGATATTTATTGATTCAAAAATCTATGTTGAACTCCATTGAACACTGAAATTTCTGAGTATGCAAACAGATAAAGGATTTTCCACAGTTTTAAGGTAAATGGAAAATCACTATATCAAAGACCTATTTAACTAAGAACTGAAAAATATGTCCTCCTTAGATTCCAATTCTAATCATTTCATTCCATTGATTTATACTCCTGATTTCTACATTAGATTTAAAATAAAGTCATTTCATGATAGTCTTTACATATATCTGCCAACTTTATAGTTTTTTACATTCAGCTATGCCACCCTTTAAATCTCATTTCATTGTAGAGATTCCTAAAATTATCAATTGAATGTAAACCTTCCCGTTCCTAGTACCATTATCTCCTTCTCTATGATTCACAAAGAGAGACTTTACTCATTTTTAGTGACACTTTTCATGTCATATTTACCCATGAATTTCACTCACATACTTTTAAGCTTTCAAGTCACTGAAAATGATGAACTCAACTGAGCTTTCAAATTTCTGTTAGTCAGGTATTTATAAGCTCACAAATTCCCTTTTGTCTTTCAAGTATTGAATTGCTTATAATTCAAAGAGGATATCCTCTTTCCATCTGCAGACTGAAAGAATATCTAAACAATAAGCCTTAATAAAGCAGGTTCCCCAATAGCACCACAAACATACAGCTATATACACATAGGTCTTGCAATCTTGAAGGCTAATCAAGTGGACCACCTGAGATGCCCTGAGACAAACATGTCACTGAACTGTACTTGTTATTAACATTTTCTTTTAAAATGTATTCCTACCACCTTATTTATCTGAGTGCCTTCTCTATCTGTCCAGCAGAATTATAATTAGCTCTGCTCATTTCATATTTCCTAATAAAGCTATAGAACTTTTATGATCTAGTAAAAGAAACTCTATTGCATCCATTGCTTCCAAAAGATAACTAGGTCCTAATAATAAATCAAGGTAACAAGTGTGCTAGTTAATTAATTATGACAGTTTGTTTGCTCTCCCACAACCTTGAAACTAACACCCCAGTCCACAGTACAATAGATGATATGCATGTGTGCAGAATATTCTCAGCTATTGTTGAGAACCCTGAAGAACTACAGTTACCAAACAAGAAACTTCAAGCTTTTGAATGGCAAAGCTTGTTCTAATCTGTCTAGTGCTGGCCATATTCTAATATCCTTTATGTTCCTTCTATTTGTTGAAACAAGCTTGGAGCACTGAACTTCCCAGAATTTCTTTGGCATCTAAAAGTGTTCTTGATAACTGGCATGGCTGACTTCCTTCCTAATATTTATTTTAATATATACATGAAAGTCAACCAACGCTTTTTGATGTGAAGGCTTTGCTAACGATCAGAATAACCAATCACATATATTATTAGAGAAAGGTCTTTTCTAGGTACATGTAGCACTTTAAAAAATAAAAACTATCTTTACTATGCTTTCACCCAGTTACCAAAATACATCTTTGATCTTTATTCAGGGGAGATCAACCACAGTCATAGTATTAAACAGCAGGTCAGCTATAGCAAAAGAAAAATTTAAAATGAACAATGTGCATGCATACCAAAAAACCTACAACTCAGATATAAATTATATCCTAAGACTAAGCTTTATAAGCAGAAGTTTAACTAATGAATTACTTTAGATGATATTATAGAGGCCCAAAATAATCCATCATTTAATTAAGTAATTCAATAAACAAATATTTTGTAGTATATTTAACACAATTTAGATCTGTAGATTATAATAGAAGCTATACTATTTTTTCAGAAGTAGCATTAATTCACTAGTTCTTACTGCTGTTTTTTAATAGCATATGGAAATAATTTATTATATATAAGACACATTTAAGAGTTAATACATTCAATCTATACTTTCAGGTTTTCCAGCAGAGTGCACACAAATCCCAGATGAAATAAAACAGAATGGCTAGAATCAGGGACTTCATACTCCAGAAGGAAAATTAGAAATCGTGTAGTCCTGCTTCTCACTGTGCAGCTAAAGAAAAAGACTTCACCAGACTGGTCTAAGACACCACGGCAAATCACACAAGGCTAGGGTGCCAGTCTAGGACTTTTATGTCCTATTGTCCCAGAAAGTCAATTTTGACAATAATGAGTGACTTGATTTTACAAATTCATTAAGGAAATAGCTTTTTTTTTAATTGTCAGAGAATGTGCACATTTGTCAGAGAGAGAAAGAGAAAGAGAGAGGCAGAGAGAGAGAAAGTACCACCCCATGGGATGTGATCCCACCACCATCCCTTTTCTACCATTTCTCTATTCCATCAGGATTTGGGACATGCACACACAAGCATCTGGCATGTTTTTTTCAAGCCTCTGGGGCCCTTCGAACAACAGTCAGCCATGTGGGATCTGGCTCCCAATGCACAGGGCTTAACTACTGTGTTATGGGGCCAGCCTAGCATTTAATTCTTTCCATTTTAGTTCTAGCCAAAGTACTATATTACAACAAAATGGGGGGGGGGACTTTTACTGTGCACTGAAAAGAAACAACACTTGGCCCCCAAGAGGCTAGTTTTACCCACATGACCAAACGAAGGATCTGGTCCCCCTGTCTGCTCAGTCAGTCAGCATTAATGGGAGTGAAAAAGAAGCCTTTGAAGAGAGCATTTGCTACCAATAAAAACATCATTCTCCAGCCCAATGATCCACTCTCCTTCTCCTTCAGAGAAGAACTCATTTTGTCCATTTGGCTCTCTCGGCTGCAATTTTTATGATCTATTTTCTCACTCTTCACCCTAACCACACCCCATTTCACCTCACTAACCCACTTTTAATATTATTCTTTCAGCCTCTGGCTTGACTCGCAAGTAACTTCCTTGATGTAAGAAAGATTCAGAATTCCATCATATGCAACATAATCTGGGTAATAACAAAAGTCGTTGCTGGCTAAACAGAGACAAATGGTGATCTTTTACAGTAGTCAGACCAAGACATGCTGAAAAACACAAATTTCACAGGAATACAGTTGGGATGTCAGGGAAAGTCAAGAAAATATTGCCCCCTAGAGTATCCATTACTTCAAATGTAATTTTTATTTCTAAAATCATCAACGGCTCCAATTTCCAGGAAATTAACCAACTCATTGCTTAAGACCTGGTCAGTTAAGTCCCCTCTGTCTGCACAAGGAGCTCCTTTATAAGAATTCCCACACTGCTTAGGGTGCAGTGTATTGTAAAAAGAAACTCTTTCACCTTGGTTCTTTTAGCTAAGTCAAGGTACAGTACACTGTTAGAACTTACCTCTTCTTACTCAGTGAGTAAAAATCAAGGAGTGAGTAAAAATCAACCCTGTAAGCTCTCTTAAGTACCTCCTTTCTTTCATGTTTTTCCTACTTTAGGTAAATCTTACCTTTAAGTTCTAAATTTCTGAAGTTCCATAAAGACAGTACCCTGCCTTTGTTACTTTCATTCTTCTTTTCCCCAGATCAGAATGTTCTGGTGACAACTATTATATCCTATATTACATGAGAGCAAATCGGGTTTGTGTAACTCCAATAATAAACCAACACCTGTTCTCACAACTTCTCCTTTAGCCTTGTCTGTCAATAAAAGCTTTAATTTTGCCGTCACATTTACGAATTTCAGAGTACAAAGATTTCAATAACAAGTTATTGTGAAGCAATCATAAATACTCTCTAATTAAAATCACATTCTAGCACCTAAATTATACACATAGCTGATTTTATCCCAAAGAAATCTGGAACTAACTTTGATATACAGCAAGACTGAATTTCTTAATGAGCTTATGTTTATTACCTTGCATATAATATATTTTAAGGATTGGAAATGCAACTAGTTGCTACACTTACCTGTTGGAGGACCTTCATCCCACCCTTCTGCTCTCTTAACTCGATTTGCTGTGAATCCTAAGCAGATGTTGACACCAATGGCAAAAGTGAGCAGGGATATTGCCTAAGAAAATAAACAGATTGAGTTGTCAAATACAGCTAGACAGGACTAAATTATATGCCTTGAAGGCAATTCAAAGGATTTCAACATCACCATCCAATCTTGCAACTTCCAAAATGTATCATAACATGCTGTCTTAATTTTAAGAACCAAAAGGAAAATTCAAAATCAGTAACTGATTCTGAAGATCAAGCATTCCCCGTCATTCTCTTTTTGTCCTACCTGGTACCACAGAAAGGGGCTTCTCTTTGCCATGTCAGAGGATTCCTGGAAAGTCTTTTGCAGTGACTTCTCTGCCTACACTGAATGCACTGCTTCGGGGGCTCCGAGTTCAGTCTATTAACTACAAGCAATCCCACCTGGGAGGTTGACAGGCTCATCTGATTTGTCCAGAGTTTGATTTCATCACAGCGTGTTCACCAATCACAGCTCTGAGCAGAGGAGGCTTGGGCATCATCCTCCGTTTCCCCACCCCCTGTCGGTCCCTCCCCTAAGCCACAGACACTTTCATGTGGTATCCTCTGGCAACGTGTGGGTTGCTTATGTTGCCGTGGCCAATAACAGAGCATGTTCATTTTCCTTCCCTCACAAAAACATGGCTTGTCAAAGAGAAACCAAATGTATTTTATCCGATAGAACTGAAACGGAGCTGTACCGAGGTTTCCAACAACTTTAAGCTTTTAAAATTTACAACGTAGTTATTCAGTGTCATCCACCTCACAACTTTATTTTTTTAATTTTCCATTTCTTATTTCTTGTATATATATATTTTTTCAAAAAGACACAGAACGTGTTTATAATTTATAAACTTAATAATGTTCTCTGTCTTTTGCATGTATTTATTTTTCCAGCAGTTTGAACAAGCCTATGCTCATTACCATATTCTCAGCTACTTCTGACTCCTCAAATGTTTCTCACGGTGAAATCTCCCAAAATTGTAACGAACACAAGAGATAGCGTTATTTTCCCCCATGTTGTTGTTCAAGTTTGGAGAAGTAACTTTTATCATAATACTGGGAATGCCAGCTAAGCAGCCTGAAGTCCTTCTGCACTATGAAGAAAGACAAAATAACTTTAGTTTCTGCCTCTTCCCGAAAAAACTGTCAGCTTGTTTGGGGGTGGGGATAGAGTGGGGGAGGGGACGGTGTGGGGAAGCTTTATTAGCTGTTGAATTTGGAAAGAAACGTCAATGGCAGCAAGAATTTTAAGAGTTATTTTTCTAGCTATTTCTCAGTTGCATTATCATTTATCAGTTTCTTTCCTAAGCAATTTGGCACCCAGGACACTTTTTTAAAGTTTATTTAGTTATTGAGAGAGAAAAAGAAATAGGGTCTCACTCAGTAATCCTTCTCCTGAACTTCCCAGCCAGCCAGGATCACGGGCATCCACAGGTTGACCTGGAAACTCAACCTGTGATCTTCCACATGGAATCGGTATTACACAGCTCCCCTGCTGCTGCGCCACCAAGGCTGGCCTACCAGGACTTTTTTTTTTTTTTTTTTTTAAAAAAATCAAGGCCTCTGGCTCTGAGAGTTCTTTAAACATTGTATGTGTTTAAGATTCAAATGAAGAGGGGTTTATTTGCATTATTCCCTCCACCAGGCCAAGTGACCATCACTCTTGCACAGCACAAATGTTCCTACATAAACAAATACAGGACTTCCCATGCAACCAATTACTGACAGAGCAGTGGCTCTGCTCAAGTAAAACATGATAGCACAAAAGCAAGAACTTGTTTATAGTGGGTTGCACAGTAGGCCTGGGTTTCATTATAGAATCTAGAATTTTGTAACAGCTAATTGAAAAAAAGGAAATACACTGCCAAACTTTATGTTGCCTTTCTAAAATCCATTTAGTTTTGCACTCTTGCAGAGATGACAGGCTTATGAGTTCTTCTATATAAATCTCTTGCTTTAGTCTGTATGCCATACTGAACTGATTTGGAGTTGTGTATTTACAAGGCCTGTAAAAGATGTTAACCCCATGTAAGATTTTTCTATGTATGTTCAATTGCAAGATGCAAACTGGCCGTTACCGAGGAAAACTGTAAACTAAAAAGGAAAAATAGCGAGGCAATTCTATTATGTCACTATAAGCCACGGTGCTCTGAATGTTCTAGAAAAATCGGTCTTCTTTTTTGCTCCAAACTTCCAAGCCCTTGCCAGAGTCCGATATTTGACTTTGTCTGATATTTGATGGTAAACACCCACCTTGGCGGGGCAGCGGGGGCAACAATAATTTAGAGCTTAGAATCTGAAAAGCATCTATTAATTTTTCATTTTCCATGTAGACCAGTTGTGCAAGGGAGAAAGCCACAAGTGAAATAACCAAGTGGATCTAAATTGGCTTCTGCACAGCACTTGTTACCCATTATCTGAAAGGACTGGGCTCAGCCACTGTTAACTGTTCTGTCAAAAAAAAAAAAAAAAGAACTTGATCTTCTACTAGAATATTGTGCATGAGGAACTTATTAACATCCACATACACAAGTACACACACACATCATCCAGCCATGGTCAAACAGAACTTTCCTACAAAATTATCATTATGAATTGAGTGACAGCAGGATGATTGAAGTCTCTTCTCTGAACAGCAAATCAACTGTAAAATACAGAGATCCTTCAATATCTAAAGCTGAGAAAACTGAAAAGTCTGATCATGCATGAAGCTGGTAGAGCCGTTCATCTGAAATGACTATAATATAGCCCAAACCTTCTCAAAAACAAACCAAAAAAAAAAAAAAAACCCACCAATTAAGAATGTTCCCTGTTATGATATTTCAGATTTGGGGTACAAGGTCAGATGTGGCTGATGAAAAAGGTACTGCATGAGAAAGACTGAAAAAAATGAACTTCCAGCATGCTTATTAACCTAGTCATATTTCAGAGAACACTGCCCCCTGGCAGAAGAAAGCCTAGAACTATGAACAAATCTTTCAGCAGGCTCAGCTCCTAGAAATCATTCTGGTGGTTCTCCAACTTTATTGAGCATAAGAATCTTTTAGGGGAGGCTAGTTTTAAATGCTCATGTTTATTTCCTGCTTCCCAAGATTCTGATTCATTAGATCTAGGAGGTAGAGAGAAGAGAGAGGAGTGGAGGGGGCAGACAAGAACTGGCCCAATAGGTTATTCTGATGTAAGTGATGTAAGGGCCACATTTAGAGAAACAGAGCACTAGAATAAATTACTCTGAATTAATTTGCTTACGTCCTGCATGTCAAATTGCTTGGCTTGATTCTTAATGTGATTTGAATATATTTCTAATGGCCTTTACTATTAATTGAACATTAAAGTTTTGATTTCTTCATGACAAACCATAACTATTCCTCCAGGGAAATCATCTCCAAACTGTAAACGGTAGAGCAGTATTTTATTTACTTTGCTAGTGGTACAAAGCAGCAGTGTGTGTGTTGCTTAATTGCAATACAGTAGTTGCATTTATACAAATACACAGTCCATCTTTTCATGAAATGTTCTATGAATCCTTGTTCCCAGCCCTGATTATGATAAGAGTCCTGGAGGTTAACAGTGAGATTTGAAAGATAGGTGATTGTGGGTTGTCTTTCTTGCCTCCTGCAGTATTTACCAAACTATCATGAACTGAGTGAAACTTTATGTACCTCCAGTTTCTCATACAGAATTGACATGATTTGCCTTGATTTAAAATTTTTCTCAGAATAATTCAAAGACAACGTATGATACTGGACAACTACTTGACCACATGACTTTTAGTAGTATCATTTAGCCAAACCTAGAGCATGCATACTACAAAGTAAGAAACATCATCCATGTATAGCCTTCCTATTCTTTTTCTTTTCTTTTCTCTTTTTGAGAGAGAGAGAGATTTTTCCTATAGGGTATATGCACTTGCCGGAGAAGACAGACAGACAGACAGACAGAAAGTGAGAAATCACTCCCCAGGGGAAAAGGCCATGCCGCAATCCCTTCTCCTCTCAGGATCTTGGGCATACATGCACACATGCCCAGCATGAGTTTTAAGTTGCTAAGCCCAGTACTTGAACCGCAATTGGCTACGTGAGAGTCCAGTGACATAACCATTATGCCATTTGCTGGTCCCATCTTTTTGAAAACTCTTAAGAGTTATGTCTTGTTTTCAAATCCTGCCTTGGCCAAAGGCTATTAGAAAGTTCAGAATAAAAACTGGACAGCCATCTATGCAAAAGGACAGCAATTTAAATTGAGCAGATAACTTTGACAGCTAATAGAAGAACAAGCTGGCTTAATTGCTCTTGCAATCCAGGACTACAGAGTGTATAAAGTAAATACCACTTAAGATTCTAAACCACAGAAGCAAAATTTTATGAATAATATGTGGTCCAAGGAGTTCTCCGATGATGGAATAGATATGCCAGTTTGAATTCACAAAGAACTTGTGCTGTTAGTTATGTACAGTTGAGAGCTGAAATCAACACTGTCACTTCTTCCAATGACTTTCAACCATGTCACAAACTTCCAGGCATTAGGTTTACTCCCGATGGAATCTAAGCATGAGCCTCCTGCAGAACTTTCATGAGGTGCACAACACTAGAACAATCCCTGTCCTCTATGAATATTTATTCATTGCACAAATATTCACTAGCTCCTACTATGCAGTAAGTTACCGTTCTCGGCACTAGTACTGCTAGACAGCTGAATCATACATAGTTCCTGCCCTCCATATTAGTCAAACAAACACAAAAAATAAATATAAAGTTGCAACTGTGGTAAATGCAAAGTGCAGAGGTAAATGTCACTGTGAAAACATATCGTTCAGGCTACCTAGTCGGGGGTCACAGAGAACTCTGGAGAGTCAGTTGAGCTGTGATTTCAAGGAAAGGTGAGAGTAACTAGATTAAGATGAGGAAAAAGACTTCTAGACAGAGAGGACACACAGCACAAAGGTTTTAGGAGGGGGTAGAGGCACAGCACAACCACAAGATGAAAATAGTCAGTCTGACTCATTTGGAGAGGGTGAAAGTGCATATAAAGTGACATGAGATGGAA